ACCTTCGCTTTCTGTCCTGATAACTAAGCAGGTATGTGAAAATAATTGCTGCTTAGGAATCTCGGACATATCGCAATTTCCATATTTGAAGAATTTTGCATTCAGTCATAAAGCATTTACAAGAAATCCCTTTATCAGAAACCTTTAATATCTCTGAATCTGCTTTACTGCTTTGAACTAAGCTATGACTATGGACTTGGAGTTCCGAGAGTTTTTAGTATACTTCAAAGTGCATGATTCCAAGAATCTATAACAAATATTCTTGTTTTTAATAACTGAATATAAATTATTCTTCCTGAATTTGATTACAAAAGTAATTGTTACCAATGGAGGTGTTGGTTTTTAAGGTATTCTTTTTTAAGTATTTTTTTTTTAATTTTTATGAAAATTAACCAAATTTATGGATAATAGTAGATTAATACTGAAAACACTACCTAACCTATTATACTGAGATTTTCAAGGCAGTTACATAATACGAGCTTATGCTATAAGCTAATATATCACTAGCATTCATGATAAAAGCGACATTATAGCATAAGGTTGTAACGTGGTAATACGTCGCTTTCAGTCTCTGTAGTCGCTAGCAATGAGAGTCACATTATTTGTGATACATATACCATTCCTGCCCAAATGAAGGCTACAAATACTATCAAAAGATATATCCTGCTAAAAATAGTTACACAAGGACGCTTATTTGAATACTCAAGTCCCATTAGACGCATCTTTACTGATAGGTTCTTCGGAATACTCCCAGCAATATATATTCTATCCTGATCTACCTTAGCAGTTGAAACTACGGGTGATTTGTTTTCTTGTTTTATGATCAGGGAAGCTCTGACTGGAAATTGAATGCATTTGGGTTTCTCTAAACCTATTCGGACAAGTATCGCTGAGGCCTTTTAGGAAACTATCCTAGATATTTTTTCATGGGTTAGGTTACTGATTCTAGATCCAATAGAAAAGAGATCCAGTTTTCTTCCAGAAGTATACTAGCGACAAGAGATAATACTGTAGTGATAAGGTATTTTGCTTTACTTGGCGAAGTTTTCTGTTTTACAAGACCTTTGTAGACGCTCCACCTCTTCTGGGATTAATGCTCTGAGGACTAGAATTTTTGGGAGCGCAAACTCTCATATCCTATGGTGTCGATTTTTCCAATTCACGCCTTCTGAAATTTAGTATCTTGAACAAAGGAATTAATCTTTAATGTGGCTCCTTTTTTACGGTTACAGTGATTGTTCTGAAAATGTCTGCTACGAGCGTTTCGAGGAGAATTTGTGCGGTTGCAATATACCTCTTGTGGATATAATGAGGAGGCTACAAAAAAAAATATAGGGTATAAAGTAGAAAGAACGTTCTGACTGATAAAAATATACAAAATTAGTGGTAAGAAGCAATTATTTCTCCCTCGTCATGATCGGTCAAGGTGAAATTTTTTGGCAGGTAAAATTTTGTAAGTTTCTTTCACGTAGAATATGAGTTTTGACGTCGAAAGATGGAATGGAGAAAACATCTCACTATCTTATTAAATTCTAGTTTGAATTTCTCTCCACCCTTCATTCGATATATTCACTAAAGGTTCTCGTCTGTGGGTGCTAAACCAAAAACTAAATTACGAAATTATACTCAAGCGGTTTAAATCAGGCTTAAGAAATTAACGGGGGAGAGATTCCAAGAAAGTTTATTGAAGATTACTGATTTCATTCACTATTTTCTTCTTCCAATCGCTTCGTATACCCCATCATTAATCATTATCGATCACCATGAGAAACACCTGAATACCTTCTCCATTTTCCTTATCGTTTCCATGAGAATCTATTTGTCCTTTTCCTATCGTGAATGATTCTCTAACTTCAAACCCCAAATGAAAGTATATATCTCTAGCATGTGATGTGATTGCCTCGACATAGACCGATTTGTTATTATTTTTCGCACTCTCGAGAATAGGGTAGATCAAAGCTGAAACAGACCCTTTTTTCGGTGTTTTTTTCATGTGTCTCGCTAAGGTATTCAAGTACCAATATTGTTTCTTAAAATAATCTCTCTTAAATTTCTTAGATTTAATAGATAACTCAGTGACCTGATTCAAGGTTTCTTGCAGAAGTGCTTTTTCTAGAATTCGGTTATTAGTAGCAACCTCTACACCGGGAGGATACCATATTGCGACAGCATTGTAGTCATCTGACTCGAAGATTTGAGCACCTTGGTTCAAATGTTCATGGATTCTCTCTTGGAAAGTAAAATAGGTCTCATCAATCTGAATAACATCGGGTGGAAGTTCGTTAATTCTTCTAGTCAAAAACCTAATAAAACCTACATTCTTGAATGCGCTTACCATGACTTCATTGAGTCTTTGCACATCATTAGTTGGATTTAGGGTGTTATTCGAATTCATAGATTTGAATTTAAAATTGTAATTTTCTTTTCATCAATGAATCATTTTACTATATTTTAGGGATGTTGCATTGTTTTATTTCATCATTACCCGACTGACATGCAAATGGCTACTGTGGCTTGCCTCAACTCGTGATAGAAACATTTGGAAGCCGATGAACCTTCATAGATATAATGAACTCATGTATTAGAATACATTATAGAATTTCAGATGGACTTTAACAGACAGGTTTCAAAATCTTGAGAGCATGGCCATAACGAAGAGAAAAGTATCTAAATGCTCTATTGCGTGTCTTAGATGTCGTACGAGGAAAATAAAATGCGATAGGATGACACCCTGTAAGAACTGTAATGCCGCTGATACAGAATGTGAAAAGGGTAGTATTGATCTGGATGGAAGAAAAAAAAGATACAGAAACCTTTATGTGAAGGCACTTGAATGTCAAGTTGAAACCTTAGAATCTGTTGTATCAAGGCTCGTGCATATAAAGGAATTAGTGGACAAGGACCAGGTAAATAATTATCCTTTCAACAAAAATGAGGAATCACAATATCAGGATGGTGAAATGAAAGCTAATAGGATTCTAAGTAACAGCTCGGAGATTGTATTGGAAGACAAGACCAATATTAGTATCTATGAGGATATTGTTCCCTCAATGCCCAAAGCTGCTGCCCACTTAGATAAGAAAGCAGCCCTTGAGAACTACGAGGATCTTGAGGCTAATAAAGATATAGCGGAATGCTTGGACAATTTTTTCACATGGCAATATTTTGACATGAATTTTTATGTCGATAGGAAGAGGTTTTTCGATGAATTCCATCGAAAAACGGAAGGAGAGACTGTGGGGGAATTTTGTTCAGAAGATTTGATATATGCCCTTAGCGCAATAGGAGCAAAACTTTCAAGTAACGAGGAGCTTCAAAAGAAATCAACAGAGTTTTATACAGCAGCAAAAAAGATAATATTCTCCGAAAAATACTTGTACCCATGCTCCACTACTATCCAGTCTCTATTGTACCTATCTGTATACGACAACACATATAATGATTCCAGTTGCTGGATGCTCTCTGGACTAGCGTTTAGAATGGGTCTTCATCTTGGTTTTGACCGTTTGTTGTATAAGGAGACCTCTAATTCTATGGCATCAGCCACAATAAAGGCCGAAAACAGGGTCTTCTGGGGGTGCTTCATTTACGATCATTATAATAGTTTATTACTTGGGAGGCCAGTGACGTTTAAGTCTAGTGCAAGTTTGCGAGAATTCCTTTCTCTTGAGAGAGAAGAGAATTTTTCTGAAAAGTATTCTATTGATAACACTACCTTCGTGATGTTTAAAATGATTGAACTCTTCACATTGCTGGAACCATTTGTACAAACGCTCAGTCTGGCAGATGAAACTGAAAATAAGATCGTACAAAATTTGGAATCCTTGCTTAGAACACAGACATTGAATAATATAAACTTACAATTAATGAGATGGAAAAATGATATAGAATTCGGAATACTATGGAATAAGGATAGTGCTAATTCAACAGATCAGGATTTATCAATGTTGGCACTTAAATACTACTATTATTTGACAGTACTTTGCATAAACAAACCTTTTGCCCCTATTAAAACAGGAAAGGATTCTATCTCAAAGGAAATAAGGCAATCTTTAGAGTATTCAACTGAGCTATCTGTCGCATGCATTAAAGAAGTAGTTGCCTCCTTGCGAGTTTTTTCAGAAAGAATGCAATCTTTTAAGTACTTGACGGTAACCATGATCTATACAATTGTTCTATCGTTGAATTATATACTTCTATGTGATACGAATGTGATGGTGAACGTTGAGGGATTGAGAGAAGATTTCGAGTACTTATTGTCAGTTCTCAAAACCGCCTCCAACTACTGGAAAACAGCATCAAGGTCATACGAATTGATATTAACTAAAATGCGGCAGAAGTACCCTAGTTATTATGAAGAAATGTTTAAACTTAAATCAAAGCTAGAGGCTACTCGAAGTCAAAGTAATGATACACAATGTAATTATGATTTTTCAGAATATTCGGGGATAATGGAGGACTATAAGGTGGCGGTTCCTAGCACGGCAGACAGTATACTAGATACGCATGAGTTATGGAATAATAAGATTGACTTTAGGGCATTAGACTTTTTAGATGCTAATATAACCTCATGGTCTCATGTGTTTCCTGATTTATACAAATAAATCAACTCGGATTGTATTTTCCGTTGTGCGTCTCTTTGATTTCGCGATACAAGCATCGATTGCGAAAATTAGCATGAACAGCACTACTGTGGACCCTTTTAAAATACCTGCCATTCTGACCATAAATTGATTTTATTCTCAACCTCATCTAAGTTTGAAAGTTTAATTGTTCATTGATGTATTTCAAGGTTGACTCAATAGCCATAATAGGCGCAGGACCTTCGGGATTGGCCGCTCTATATGAATTTCTTCATACGTCTAAAGAAGGTGTAAGCACTTTTGGTAGTAAGGAGCCTGAAGAGAAGGCTTTTAAAGAAATAGTCGTCTTCGAGCAGAAATCTAATCCGGGGGGTGTGTGGGCTGTTCCAGATGAAGAGAAAGTATCTTATTTGAAGGACCTTTACCAGTATGACTCACTTCAGGACATCATCGACTCAAAGGAAAAGAGCTTACAAAGTGCAATCAGAAGCTCCAATTCGCAGCTTCCTTTAGAAATTGATAAATTGAACGACTCAGTGTCTTGGAAGGGGTCACCTTTGTATAAGAATCTTTTTACAAATATACCAAAGAGGTTTACAAGATTTTCCACTAGTGCGTATAAAGATATTGGAAATGGTAGACCCATAGACCCATTTTTGAGAGATTATGAATTAAGGAGTCACATTCAGAATTACGTTTCTGAGCATGACTTGGAAAAGTATATCAAGTTCAATACAGAAGTAGTTAAGGCTGTGAAAAAGGGGGAAAAGTGGCAACTCACGCTCAATCATAAGGATAGAGATACCGATAAAAAAGAGTTTTATCTGAAAGAGTTTGACGCTATCGTGGTAGCCAATGGAAGTTATACGCTTCCTCATATTCCCCAGATCGAAGGGTTGAAAGAGTACGAAGAAGCTCATCCTGGCTCTATCTTACATTCTAAATTTTTCAGGGACTATGAGGACTATAGGAACCAAAAAATTATCGTCTTGGGTAGCTCTGTGAGCGGATTGGCTCTTTCTCAGTATTTAAAACCAATTGCAAAAGAATTTATTCTTTCACGTAAAGACAGGAAGGAAATCTTAGATTGGATGAATGATATTATTTATTCAAAAGAAGTGACTGTGAAATCTCCAATCAAACGTTTTATTCCCTCGAGCAAAGAAATTTTGTTTGATGATGGTACCACAGTGAAGGATTTTGACAAGATATTGTTAGCTACAGGTTACTATCCCTACTATCCTTTTTTTGAAAAAGACCTTTTATCCCTCTCAGTCTCTCCAGAGAAGAAAGGGCCTGCTAATAATTCAAGGATCAAGAACCTATACTACAATATATTCAAGATAGATGATCCTACATTAGCCTTTGTTGGTTTAATTAAAACTTCGCAACTCTTCACCGGTTTTGAATCTCAATCTGCTGCAGTTGCAGGTATATGGAGTAATGCTAAACAGTTACCATCTCTCAAAGAACAATATGACTGGGAACTCAAAAAATTAGAGGAGACGCCCGATACTTCGCGTTTCTACGTATTTTCAAATGAAGATATCAAAACTAAATATTTTGACAGGATCAAAGATTTTTTTCCCTTCGAAAGAAAATACCCTCTCGATGAAAATTATTATGAACACTTCGAAGATTTTAAAAATGGAGAGCAGAAGCTTGCCGATCTCTCGCTTTCCATAATGAGAAAGCAAGTAGTGTTCGAAAACGGCGAGTACATAATGAAATAGAAACTGCTTGATTTTGCTTAGATTTAAATAATTAGAATGATAGACAATTGCATTAATTTTCATACTTTTTTTTTCAAACATGGGTACATACATGCCTTTGAATTTGTTATTTCTACTCTTTTAGTGATTCATAAATTACAAAACAATTAAAAATTTCTTCGATAAAACTATTTAGGCTTTGCATAAATCTTATCTATTGAGTCGGCACCACTTTTTACTTTGATTTCATCTTCTTCCAATTCATTCAAAGGAATTTCTTGTTCATATTCTACAGGAAAGAACTGATCCCTTTTCTCTTTGATTTCCTGAGGAAGTTTTAGCAGGAAAGTATACTTGGAATTCCTTAACCACAATCGTGCTAAATGACGCCTGTGGTCTTCATCTTCAACATAGCCTTTTCTGCAATGTTGGTTGATGAGATTGTTCACATACTCTATATCTCCTTTCTGTAAATCTGTTTCTAAAGTATACTTATATGCAATAGCATTGAAACCACCTACTGCATCTCTCTCTTCCGATGATATTAGCGGGTACGACTTATCTCTGGGAATCTCTCCAAATCCTATGAAGTTTCTAGTGGAAAAACTGGTGATGAGCTCATCATTTTCGTAGAATATTAAAGGTGCACCTTCTGGAAAACCTTTCCTTTTATAACCTTCCGGACTAGTCAAAACTTTGATGATGTCTGGTCTATGCTGAGCAAGATAATTGTAGATTGAATACGTTGAGCTGATGAGCGATTCACCTCCATTAGCGGGCGTACCCAATACGAATAAAGAAACAATATCACCGCCGAAGTCAGAATGGTACATCTGCGGATCAGTTGTTTGTTGACTGACACCTATAGGAGCACGTTCTTCCTTTGGAACATGAGCTATAGATTTAATGTGAGTAAGTGCTCTGTTTAAACCCTGAGCATCCCGAATGTCACCTATATAAGAGCTTATTCCAAGATAAGCAATCAACCTTTCCTGTTCATCATAATCGTCGATATTGAATCCCCTCAATAACCTAACTCCAATACCCTTATAAAGATCTTCGCTAAAACCCTCAAGTTTGGAGCCTAATGAGCCCAACTTGAAATTCTCTTTACCGACTTTTTGCAATGGAAGGCCTAATTGTTTAAATTTTTTTACCGCGTTATGAATTTCAGAGAGATCTCCCAGCGTGAAATAGTATTTATACTTTTCAGGATTCCTTCTCAATTCTTCACCGGTCCAGACATGTAACCCTGTAAGCTTCTTGGGCCAGCCCTCTGGAAGATCTATCTTGATATGTAGATGCTTTTTGTCAAGCTCCCTCCATTCGTTGACACTGTGGAGAATATCTGGCGAATCTGAGTAGTACGTGTAAGAGTCAATTTCTGCAACCATTTTCTATTTTACTATAATCAAGAACAAGTCAAAGTTTCAAAGGGGCGGATAATCGGTATATATAACTGTATCGGGATTCGAATATGAACAGCTATACATAGCCAAATTCATATCGAAAAAATTCATCGTCGAAGCCACAACGGAAATCATAATCCGCAATTATCACCACAGTTGGCGGATCAAGATCCGCTCATCTTACTCATCGATTCATACTTAATTAGTTAAATAATACCTTAACAAGAGAGCTAATATTCAGAAAATTATACTTTTCAGTAGTTCAAGTGATGCCTAAAGCAAATTCGATTGAAGAAGGCGCTGATGCTTTATCTATTCTGAAAAATAAAAGTCTTTTATTCACTAGAGAGTTGTCGCAAGAGATTGATGTCGTAAACAAATCAAGATGGGAAAAGTTCTTGGAGGTTGTCTGGGATGGGCCCAAGACTGATAAGGAAAGAAAATATATCAGAAAGTTGGACATTTTCCTCTTGACTTGGGGATGGTATGTTGAAATCGTGAAACCTGCAATAGAAAATTTATATTTATGCGCGAATACTAACATTATGCAGTTATGGATATTTCGTCAAGTTGCTTGATTCGAATAACTTTACTAATGCCTATGTCTCTGGAATGAGGGAAGATGTTGGAATAACAGGAGATAACTATAATTATGTTCAGTCCATATATATGGCAGGTTACGTAGTGGGAGTTGTTCCTTCACAAATTATTACTTTGAAAGTGAGACCATCGATATACTTTCCTTGTACTGAGTTGATCTGGGCCATACTTACATTCTGCACATCAAGAGTTACAACAGTTGAGCAGCTTTATGCTATAAGATTTTTAATTGGATTTTTTTGAGTCTCCATTCTATATGGGTGCGATTTCTCTCCTAAGTGACTGGTACGGTGAAGAATCACTTAGTAAAAGGGCATGTATTCTATATTCCGCCTCAAATGTTTCTAGTATGGTACGTATTTCTTTTTTTTCTCTTGATACCACTATACCAAAATATTTATACTAACGTTATCAGTTTGCTGGGTATTTACAAGCAGGAATTTACAACAATTTAGATGGTAAAGGTGGAAATGTATGTG